AATTAAAAATGAGACATAAATGAACTTCATGTGTAGACTTGGGTCATATCCCAAATATACCTTTTTTACTTATATGCAAGTATTCCTAAATATGAAACAAAGTCAAGATTCAAGACATTTCTGGCCCTTAACATTTCAGATCAGGGACATTTAGCCTGTTTTCCATTTGGTATTAACAGAGCTTTGCTGAGTCCAGGATATGGTGGGTTCAGAACCTAAAACAGTGAGGCAAACATAGTGTAGGTGACTATTAGAATTCTCTCCTTTTATTTCATCGGTGAATGAATGCTCTAAGTTGTGTTTTGAAGCTGTTAAATAGATTTATAAATAGGATTTATATTTTGTTAAAGTTACCATAGTTAATTTTTCATTTTAAAATGAAAACACTTAAATTTTAATTCAGATTTTGATAGCCCCCCCCTTAATTTGTCATGTTTTTTTTTTTTTTTTTTTTTTTTTTTTTTTTTTCCAAGCTCTCCCTGTAGCTCTGTAAAGGACAGAATAGTGCTAAGAGTAAGTAGTCAGCCATTGCTGTTTGGATGGTTCTAGAAGTAAGGAAGTCATAACTCTGCCAAGGATCCCTGTGAGCATGGTTTGGGGCTACTGTTCTCAGCACACATGATTTTTCAGAGTGAATCAGAGTGCTCAGAGGGCAGGTGGAAGATTCTAGAACCTCTGTGCAGTAAAGCAGCTTGCTTACTCAACTAAGTATTCGGTGTGTAGAAATAGCCTTAAAAACCTATTGTTGTTCTTGTTCAGCATCCCTGGGTCAAGTAGACGGTGAGAAGATTCTGTTTGGCTCACTGCAAAGGCCCAGAGGATGGAAGAATTCTAGGGTTTTCTTGAAATATGATTGTTATTTTCTTCACAGATACCAGCATTTTGTGAGTCTTCCCAAGTGTAGGAAGGTACAGATGGTGACACACTCACAGATGAGGGACTCTTCTTAGGGAGGCAGTGACAGGATTCTTGTCAGACTTTTCCTAACACTTTGAAACCCCTGGCTTCGTTTATAGAAACTAAAGGCTGGGTAACGCCTTCACTCACAAGGGATTCGTGTGTGTGTGTGTGTGTGTGTGTGTGTGTGTCTAAGGCAGAGCCTGGCTTCTGGTGTCTTCAGTCTCTCTACTTTATTTTTTGAGA